TCCACCTGGAAACCAATGCCCTCACTGCGGAAGAAGATGCAGAGCAAGAATAGGGCTCCACAGCCACTTACGGACCCACAAGAATATTGGAAGACAATCATCCTCGGAAAGCGAGGGATCGCCTAAGTAAGTAAGTAAGTACATAATGTCCTTCGATGCACTTTATCTCACCCTGCAGTGTTTCTTCTTTCACCTTGATTAAAGGCTCCTCAGCTCCTCCTCGCTTTCGGCCATCAGAGTGGTGTCATCTGCATATCTGAGGTTGTTCATGTTTCTTCCAGCAATTTTCACCCCAGCCTTGCATTCATCAAGCCCCGCACATCGCATGATGTGTTCTGCATACAAGTTGAATAGGTTGGGTGAGAGTATACAACCCTGCCATACGGCTTTCCCAATCTTGAACCAGTCGGTTGTTCCATGGTCAGTTCTTACTGTTGCTACTTTGTCCTTATACAGATACCTCAGGAGAGAGATAAGGTGATTTGGTCTCCACATACTACCAAGAACTTACCACAATTTATTATGATCCACACAGTCAATGCCTTTAGAATAGTCAATGAAGCAGAAATTGATGTTTTTTCTGAAACTCCCTGCCTTTCTCCATTATCCAGCGGATATTGGCAATTTAGTCTCTAATTCCTCTGCCTTTTCTAAACCCAGCTTGTACATCTGGCAATTCTCGCTCCATGTATTGCTGGAGCCTTCCTTACAGGATCTTGAGCATTACCTTACTGGCATGAGAAATAAGGGACACGGTATGAAAGTTTGAGCAGTCTTTAGCATTTCCGTATATGGGGATATAAGTTGATTTTTTTCCAGTCTGATGGCCATTCTTGTGTTTTCCATATTTGCTGGCATATGGCATGCATCACCTTGACAGCATCATCTTTCAAGGTTTTAAACAGTTCAGCTGGGATCCCATCGTCTCCTGCTGCCTTGTTGTTTGCAATGCTTCTTAAGGCCCATTCAACCTCACTCCTCAGGATGTCTGGTTCTAATTCACTCACCACACCATCCCAACTATCCCCAATATTATTATCCTTCCTATACAGATCTGTATAGTCTCGCCACCTTCTCTTGATCTCTTTCGCTTCTGTTAGGTCCCTGCCATCTTTGTTTCTTATCGTACCAATTTTTGCCTGAAATTTACCTCCAGTGTTTCTTATTTTCAGGAAGAGGTCTCTTGTCCTTCCTATTCTGTTGTTTTCTTCCACTTCCATGCATTGCTTGTTTAAAAATAGTTCCTTAACTCTTCTGGCTAATCTCTGGAATTGCACATTTAATTGGGCCTATCTCTCCCTATCACTGTTTCCTTTTGCTTTCCTCCTTTCTTGGGCTACTTCCAGTGTCTCGGCAACCATTTTGCCTTCTTGGTTTTCTTTTTCTTTGGGATGTACTTTGTTGCCGCCTCCAGAACAGTGTCGCAGACTTCTGTCCATAGTTCTTCTGGGACTCTGGGTATATATTATTATATTGAATTAGTATCAGTAGTATTATCATATCCTCAGGCCCTGTTTACCTCTCCGAATGTATTCTCCCCTATGAACCATCAAGATTATTAAGATTGTCTGGAGAGGCCCTGCTCTCAGTCCCACCGGCCTCGCAAGCGAGGGACAGGGCCTTCTTGGTGGTGGCCCCTCGACTCTGGAACTCTCTCCCACTGGAGATTAGAACCGCCCCTTCTATCCTGACATTTAGGAAACAGGGGAAGACGTGGTTATGGAGACAGGCATTTGACGAGTGAGCCAATACCCTGAGATATGGATGGAGGATGATGAACAACGATTTTAGTGTGACGACTGACCATTGTAGTTATTGAATGTAATTGTTGTTTTAATGTTTTACTGTAATATGAATCATGATGTGTTTTTGACTGTATGTGATATTATGGTTGGAATCCGGTCTGAGTCCCTCAAGAGAGGTGAGAAGGTCGGTATACAAAACTTTTAAATAAATAAATATTACATTTCAATAATAATAATAATAATAACTTTATTTATACCCTGCTACCATCTCCCCAAAGGGACTCAGTGCGGCTTACAAGAGGCCAAGCCCACAGCACATCAATACAAAAGCAATAACAAAAACAATCAATACAATACAATTAATATAAATCACATAAACAATAAACAGTAACACACAAGCATTTAAAAACCGATGGCCGGGCCAAATGCAATAGTTTAAAATTATTATTATTATTAATAATATTATATGTGTTGTTGTTGTTCATTCGTTCAGTCGTCTCCGACTCTTCGTGACCTCATGGACCAGCCCACGCCAGAGCTCCCTGTCGGCCGTCACCACCCCCAGCTCCCTCAAGGTCAGTCCAGTCACTTCAAGGATGCCATCCATCCATCTTGCCCTTGGTCGGCCCCTCTTCCTTTTGCCTTCCCTTTCCCCAGCATAATTGTCTTCTCTAGGCTTTCCTGTCTCCTCATGATGTGGCCAAAGTACTTCAACTTTGTCTCGTATCTTTCCCTCCAATGAGCAGTCGGGCTTTATTTCCTGGAGGATGGACTGGTTGGATCTTCTCGCAGTCCAAGGCACTCTCAGAACTTTCCTCCAACACCACAGCTCCAAAAGCATCGATCTTCCTTCGCTCAGCCTTCCCTAAGGTCCAGCTCTCACATCCGTAGGTGACTACAGGGAATACCATGGCTTTGACTAGGCGGATCTTTGTTGCCAGTGTGATGTCTCTACTCTTTACTATTTTATCGAGACTGGACATTGCTCTCCTCCCAAGAAGTAAGCGTCTTCTGATTTCCTGGCCACAGTCTGCATCTGCAGTAATCTTTGCACCTAGAAATACAAAGTCTGTCACGGCCTCCACGGTTTCTCCCTCTGTTTTCCAGTTGTCAATCATTCTTGTTGCCATAATCTTGGTTTTTTTGACGTTTAGCTGCAACCCGGCTTTTGCGCTTTCTTCTTTCACCTTGATTAGAAGGCTCCTCAGCTCCTCCTCGCTTTCGGCCATCAGAGTGGTGTCATCTGCATATCTGAGGTTGTTAATGTTTCTTCCAGCAATTTTCACCCCAGCTTTGCAGTCATCAAGCCCCGCACATCGCATGATGTGTTCTGCATACAAGTTAAAAAGGTTGGGTGAGAGGATGCAGCCTTGCCGTACGCCTTTCCCAATCTTGAACCAGTCTGTTGTTCTATGGTCAGTTCTTACTGTTGCTACTTGGTCCTTGTACAGATTCCTCAGGAGAGAGACAAGGTGGCTTGGGATGCCCATCCCACTAAGAACTCGCCACAATTTATTATGATCCACACAGTCAAAGGCTTTAGAATAGTCAATGAAGCAGAAGTAGATGTTTTTCTGAAACTCCCTGCCTTTCTCCATTATCCAGCGGATATTGGCAATTTGGTCTCTCGTTCCTCTACCTTTTCTAAACCCAGCCTGAACATCTGGCAACTCTCGCTCCATGTATTGCTGGAGTCTTCCTTGCAGGATCTTGAGCATTACCTTACTGGCATGAGAAATAAGGGCCACTGTATGGAAGTTTGAGCAGTCTTTCGCATTTCCCTTTTTTGGTATGGGGATATAAGTTGATTTTTTTCCAGTCTGATGGCCATTCTTGTGTTTTCCATATTTGCTGGCAAATGGCATGCATCACCTTGACAGCATCATCTTTTAAGATTTTAAACAGTTCAGCTGGGATCCCGTCGTCTCCTGCTGCCTTGTTGTTAGCAATGCTTCTTAAGGCCCATTCAACCTCACTCTTCAGGATGTCTGGTTCTAATTCATTCACCACACCGTCAAAACTATCCTCAATATTATTATCCTTCCTATACAGATCTTCTGTATAGTCTCGCCACCTTCTCTTGATCTCTTCAGCTTCTGTTAGGTCCCTGCCATCTTTGTTTCTTATCATACCAATTTTTGCCTGAAATTTACCTCCAATGTTTCTAATTTTCTGGAAGAGGTCTCTTGTCCTTCCTATTCTGTTGTCTTCTTCCACTTCCATGCATTGCTTATTTAAAAATAGTTCCTTATCTCTTCTGGCTAACCTCTGGAATTGCGCATTTAACTGGGCATATCTCCCCTTATCCCTGTTTCCTTTTGCTTTCCTCCTTTCTTGCGCTACTTCCAGTGTCTCAGCAGACAACCATTTTGCCTTCTTGTTTTTCTTTTTCTTTGGAACGTACTTTATTGCTGCCTCCTGAACAATGTCGCGGACTTCTGTCCATAGTTCTTCTGGGACTCTGTTTACTAAATCTAGTCCTTCAAATCTGTTCTTCACTTCCACTGTATATTCGCTAGGAATGTGTAGTGAGATCATATCTAACTGGTCTGTGTATTTTCCCTGATCTCTTTAGTTTTATTCTAAATTGGGCAATAAGAAGTTCGTGATCTGAGCTACAGTCAGCCCCAGGTCTTGTTTTCACCGACTGGCTGGATGTCCGCCACCTTTGGCTGCAAAGGATGTAGTCAATCTGATTTCGGTGTTGACCGTCTGGTGAGGTCCATGTGTAAAGCCGTCTTTTAGGTTGTTGGAAGAGAGTATTCGTTATACACAGCGAGTTTTCCTGGCAAAATTCTATCAGCCTGCGTCCCGCTTCATTTTGTTCTCCCAGACCATGCTTGCCTGTATTCTAGTATTAGCACCATAACTAAACAAATTGCATATTTCAGAAGGTGAATGAATAAAAAAGGGCGCGTCCATGTGACTCCGCCCCCAAACAAAAAACTCAAGCTGCGATTGGACAGCAAAGGGCCAATAGAAGAGCGTACACGGCTGGGGGCGTGGCCTTCGAGAGAAACAGAGCTGTACCGTAGTCAGGAAGAGACTGACGTAGTTTGGTAAAGGGAGGGGGGAGAAGGAGTAACTAGCATATAGTGAGCGATAATTTGTGGGCGGGACAACGCGCGCCAGGCCACGATTGGCCCATCGAGGAAGCGGATTGGTCCTTTCGGGACGGGCGGGGCTTGGCAGAAGTGACAGTTGGGCGGGCCGCAGAACAAGGGAGGAGCGTGGCGGTGGTTGGCTGTGGGCGCGGGGGAGTGGGCGGGGCTTCACAGGGTCTCGCGCGCCGGGGGCCCCACTTCCAGTCAGGGCGAGATGAATGAGGCGGAAGGCCTGCGGCAGAGGCGCCCTGCCCGCCCGGCAGTGGTCACCGAGGACAGCACGGCCCAGGAGGCCAAGAGCGGCAGGTGACCCGGCTTCCTTCCTTCCTTCCTCCCTTTCCCACTGTTGTCATAGCTGAGGGGAGGGAACGCACCTGTCATGGCGACCCCAGGGATTGATGGAGAGGGAAAGGATCAGGCCCAGGCCGAAATACGTTCATTATTATTGACTTGCTTCATTTTGTATGGCCCCCAGTAACTGATACTGCAAGCCTGGGCCAAGTTGGGCCCTCCAGGTGTGTTGGAGTGGAACTCCCATCATTCCTTACAGCCTCAGGCCCCTTCCTTTTCCCCCTCAGCTGCTTAAGCGGCTGAGGGGGGAAAGGAAAGGGCCTGAGGCTGTTAGGAATGGTGGGAGTTCCACTCCAACACACCTGGAGGGCCCAACTTGGCCCTGGTCTGCTCTAACATCACTACATAACATAATACAATTAAAGAAGAGCACAAATCTGAAAATAGAGGGGAATATGCCCTTCCTCCTTTGAAATATAGAGTTGCAAGAGACCTTGTGGGCTATCCAGTCCAACCCCCTGCCAAGAAGCAGGACAATCGCATTCAAAGCACCCCCAACAGATGGCCATCCGCCTCTGTTTAAAAGCTTCCAAAGAAGGAGCCTCCACCACACTCGGGCAGAGAGTTCCACTGCTGAACAGCTCTCACAGTTCTTCCTCATGTTCAGATGGAATCTCCTGTAGTTTGAAGTCATTGTTCCGTGTCCTAGTCTCCAGGCCAGCAGAAAACAAGCCTGCTTTCTCCTCCCTATGACTGCCCATCACATATTTATACATGGCCATCATGTTTCCTCTCAGTCTTCTCTTCTGCATGCTAAATATGCCCAGCTCTTTAAGTCCTCCTCATAGGGCTTGTTCTCCAGACCCTTGATCATTTGAGTCACCCTCCTCTGGACACATTCCAGCTTGTCAACATTTCCTTACAGAGAGTGGTCATCCCTCCTGTTCAAGGAGCTCCACTGGCTGCCATTCATCTACCGGACCCAATTCAAGGTTCAGGTTCTCACCTATAAAGCCCTGAACGGTTTGGGACCCGCCTACCTATGTGATCGCATCTCTGTATACGAACCCACATGATCCCTTCGATCTTCTGGAGAGGCCCTGCTCTCGATCCCACCAGCATCGCAGGCGCGTTTGGTGGGGACGAGGAAGAGGGCCTTTTCAGTGGTGGCCCCTCGACTCTGGAACTCACTCCCTAAAGACATCAGACCGGCCCCAACCCTGGCAGTCTTCAGGAGGAGCTTGAAAACGTGGTTGTTCCAGTGTGCCTTCCCGGAATAATGAATCCCATAGCACTTTGTCCTCCAAAGCACTTTACATTTCCGAGTCTACTTGTATTCCCTCCACAAACACTAGTATCACCTTTCGTTTATGGCCCAGTATTATTTCCAATTTTAACTCTACATTTGGCCTTCCCACTGTTTTGATTATGTGTTGCTTTTTTAATATGTTGTGTATTTTATTGTCTATGTTTTTAATTGCTTGTATCGATGTTTTATTGCTTTTGTTGTTGTGTTTGGGCTCGGCCTCATGTAAGCCGCACCGAGTCCCTTGGGGAGATGGTAGCGGGGTACAAATAAAGTTAATAATAAATAAATAATAATCTCCCTTAATTTGCGGTGCCCAGAATTGGACACAGTGTGATTCCAGATTTGGTCTGACCAAGGCAGAATAATAATAATAATAATAATAATAATAATAATAATAATCTTTATTTATACCCTGCCACCATCTCCCCAACGGGGATTCGGGGTGACTTACATGGGGTACAGGGGTTAAAAGTATTGTTGAAGGCTTTCATGGCCGGAATCACTGGGCTGTTGTAGGTTTTTTTGGGTGATATGGCCATGTTCTAGAGGCATTCTTTCCTCTAGAGAATGCCTCTAGAACAACAACCCAATATAGCAATGCAATAAGCAACATACAACGACAATAAAATGTAAAAATAAAAATAAAATACAGAAACAATATAATAGACATAAACAATGTAAAATCACAATAATTTAAACACCGAGACTAAAATAGAGGGGTAGCATGACTTCCCTGGATCTAGACACTATACTCCTATTTATGCAGGCCAAAATCCTATTGACTATCACACCTGGTATTTCATTGGGGGTTTCCCACCCAAGTCATAACCAGGGCTGACCCTGCTTGGCTTTTATTATTATTTTTGTCCCACCTTTCTCCCAATGTTAGGGCTCAAGGCTGCGACAGCAAACATGGAATGATACGATTAATAATACAGCAAACCCTTTATTTTTATGTTTATTTATCCCCTGCTTTATCCCCCGCTTTATCTCCCGCTGCCCTGGTGGTGCAGTGGGTTAAACTGCTGAGCTGCTGAACTTGATGGAAGAAATGTGAAATCTGTTTAGTTATGATGCTAATAATATAACCTATTGCATATACCTATAATACTAATAATAATACAATATTTTTTGTGTGTTAGGAGAGACTTGAGAAACTGCAAGTTGCTTCTGGTGTGAAAGAATTGGCCGTCTGCAAGGACATTGCCCAGGCGATGCCTGGATGTTTTAATGTTGTAATATCCTCTTGGGAGGCTTCTCTCATATCCCCACATGGGGAGCCGGAGCTGACAGAGGGAGCTCATCTGCTCTCTCCCCAGATTTGAACCTGTGACCTGTTGTTCTTCAGTCCTACCGGCACAAGGGTTTAACCCACTGCATAACCGGGGGCTCCATAATACAATATAGTAATATATAAATTTAAAATATACTTATTATGATGTTTATTTATACCCTGCTTTATCTCTCCAAGGGGAACTCAAGGCGGCTTGATCTAAAAGCATTGCTATCCAATTTAAAATATACAAACATTAAGACAGAATTAAACGCAAAAATTTTTAAAATGCAGTTAAAAACCATCAAACATATTCAGAGTTTAAAACCCCAGCAACCCCCTGCCCCCACACATGCCTTCATCTTTAATAGCCTGCCTGAATAGAAAATTTTTAGCCTGCCGCTGGAAAGACAGCAAGGAGGGGGCCGTTCTGGCTTACCTGGGAAGAAAGGAGTTCCAGAGTTGAGGGGATTTGCCACAGAGAAGGAAGTCCTGCTTTCTCATTCCCACCAACTTTAAAATGTGGCTATGAATATCAAATCTTTTGTATCATGGAACATAAAAAATACTAAAACACATTTAAAACTACACTTAAACTCAGGCCCTCCAGATACTGATGGGCTGCAGTCCCCCTGAGTCTATATGTATGTTTATCTTCAAATGTTCTCTTGCTTTATAGTAACCCCCATGGAAGTCATATGAGAGGAATAGTAAGTTCCTTCCTCTGACATATAGCCTTCTGCACCACGTGGGTTTCCCTACTCAAGTCCTAACCAGGGCTGACCCTGCCTAGCTTTCAAGATCAAGCTGGATCTGGCGCCTTTAGGATATTTATGCCCTGAAGAGAAGCTATTGCCTGAGGGAGGGAAAACTTTCAGCCCACCAAGGGACTGGTTTAGGTGGGTGGCTTGTTTTCTGTCTTTCTCTAGCCAACCCCTCTGGGACATCACTTACCTTAACACACCTACATGGGATTCCTCTGGGTTGAGCTGGCTACAGAACCTATGAATGTTTCAGAACTCAAGCCCATCTTGAAGGGCCTCTTTCATTCTCTTATTTATTTGAATTATTTCTTTTAAACTCTAATAGAAAATGCTGTAAAGGAAAAAGAAGTAAAATAAGCACAGGGTACTGTGCCGGATCTTTCATTATCATATATTTACTTTTCTCCCTGGGGCCCTCGTTTATATATGTGTGCACAAGTATCTAATGTGTGCATGCATACCCACAACTATCTTTGCACATGCTCAAGCCAAGCAAAGATAAGATTCCATGCATCTGATGAAATATGCCCTAGTTAATGGATACTTAGTTGATGTGTTCCCTGAAGCCATTTCTGACTTATTGGGACTCTAAGGCAATATTCATGCAGTCTGGCCAGCCACATGACCTTGGAGGTGTCTACGGACAATGCCAGATCTTCGTCTTAGAAGTGGAGATGAACACCACCCCCCAGAGTCAGGCATGACTAGACTTAATGTCAAGGGGAAACCTTTACCTTTACTAAGGCGATATCACATGGTGTCTGGGTCTGAGAGTGTGTGACTCACCCAGTGGGTTTTCGTAACAGAGCAGGGATTTGACCCCTGGTCTCCATAGTTGTAGTTCAACACAACAATCACTACACACTTAAGTCATAATAAATTAGTTATTCTGCAGGTGTCTAACTGCAATTGTTTCCCTTTACTGGTTAACCCCTGTGCCACCCATTGGAAGCTAGACTTGCTAGGATGAGTAAGCCTGGCTTCTAAAAATATTATTGGGGCCTAAAAAGTGGCAAAAGCCTTGGTGCTAAACAAACAGAAACAATAATGCTATGAAAATTGTCATTTAAAAAGTAGTAATAAGATTGCAGCAGACTGGCAGAATGCATCATTTCTGAGTTCCAGATGTGTGGTAGCAGGTTGTAGTTGGAGCAGGAAGATGAATTTTGCATGTAAAGGGGTTAGAGTTCTGGTGTTGCAACAGGATTTCAACACTAAAAGGAAGCAGTGCAGCCCGATTGGGAAAGTTAACTGGGTAAGAGGTTAGGAAGAATATAATGTAAAGAAATGTCTCACTTCTGGGTAGGTGTGGACTGTGGCTCCTTTTTATAGGATTAAATCCTACTGAACTCAGTGGCCTTTACTTTTGAGTTAACCTTGGTAATTTCATTGGTCAAATACTTTCTTCAGGGAGAACTTAAAGTTACCTTGAATACATGTTTGTGAACTGGTTAGAATGTGACTACATTTCCAAATGCTTTCGGTGTTTCAGAAACCTAAGAACCAGAAGAGGGGCAAAACTTTTTTTTCCTCTCAAATATTACACAATTTCAATTTGAAATGTTGAGCACTGTTGGTGAGAGTGATTGGTGTACTTTATTGTTCATCAAACTTGCCTTTCCTGTTTGTGCTTCTGGTTTGTAGGGGTGAAGCAAGCCAGGGAGATCTGGTTTTGAATACATGTACCGTAAATGTTCTGGGCAGGAGGGATGAGGCTGTTTACACTAGCATGCAACTAGTTTATAATGAGGCAAAATTATTTGGAATTCGTATTTGCCAGCTTAGGCTGGTTAGTCCTTAAAGTTCTGGAAGCAGTTTTTGAGTCATGAGTATCTTTTTGTCATGCTGGAATTTTAATGGTGGGTAAATAACTTATTGCAGCGATAGGTGTATGGTTGATACAGCTAAAGAGGTTTTGATCTATCATAGAAAATGCCAAATTTAGTTGCCTAAACAAGGTTGCCTTTGATCAAAACTCAACTATTTCTTTATTCTTCAGAGCTGTTTGCCTCCTTAATTTCTTCATTTGTCTATCAAACCATTTATTTCTGGTATGGTATCACACTAGAGCAGAGGTTCCCAACCTTTTTTTGGCCAGGGACCACTTGACCAGGGACCACTCTCCAACATTAGTACCAAAAGAGTTATAAATCAGTTTTTGAACAACTTTAGATTAGGTTTGGGGTGCTGATTCAGAAAATTGCATTGGATAGACCACATCAGTTCTCAATTCTGATACAAAACATATGCCATGGTTAGCGACAGGGAAGGAGTGGCAGGCGGCGTGAAAGGAGCGGAAATAAAATAAAGAGGAAGAAGGATCGTGGACCAGATTTTTGTCCTCACAGCCCACTGGTGGTCTACGGCCCACAGGTTAAGAACCACTACACGAGAGGTTAAAGAGTAGGCAAAGAGTATGCATCCCATCTGAATTCCTTTGGCTGCCTCCTGCAGAATTCTGGGGCTTGAAGTTTAGTGAAGTGGCTTTCAAAATGCTCAACCAGAGCAGTCCTGGAGTTAGATTTGACTATTTTCTTTTCCTTTGCCTCCTTTTCCTAATCATTGCTGGTAATTAAAATCCTTGCTAAGGGTCAGAAATACAACCTTTACCCCGAGAAAGAAAGTTTAAGCTAGCTTCATCCTCCAAACCTCTGTCCTGTTTCTTGTACTTACTTAGCTCATCTTTTTTTAGCAGCTACGTATAAAGAAGTTGGTTTGAAACTGTGAGATTGGTGCATCTGTAGTTACCATTTCAAACAGATTTCTGAAGTAATATATAACCTGAGGGGCTGTTAAATTTATTTAAGAATTTTCTATCAGCATGCACATTTGATTGGGGAAGTATAGTCATCAACGGCTTGCATTGTTATTTTCTGAGTGTATTGCTTAGCTTTATATTTCTTGACAGATTAATGTGTTAAAAATGATTTCTGCAACTGTCCTATGACTAGTAATTATATTAAATTAGTGGAATAGCATTTTTAACATAATGTTCATCTTAAAAAGAGCATATATAGATGGACTTTTGTGTATATGCAACCTTTCCACATTTATTTGTGTGCCTTTTTGTACCATATGACCTTTATGAATTAATAAACTAGTTTAATTTTGACCTAATATGGATATGCAGTTTTATTGTAATATTTGTCATTAATGATGCACTGAGATTATTTTTAAAATTTATTTTTGTTGCAGTACCTACAGCAACAAAGTGTTCCGTGTCACTTTTATGACTTTAGCTGTATCTGTAATTATTCCTTTATTTGGAGCAATAATCCTTCTGGAATGTCCAATAGACCCTCAACCTATTAGGTGAGTACTTAAATATGATGGCTGCATTTAGCACACAGTTTATGTATTTGTTACTTTGTGTTTAAAATATGTAGATTCACCCAGCTATAAATGTCCCTGATCCTTCCTGATTAGGGGATTTTCAGGAAGGATTGGTGAAATAAAACTGGTAACAATTGCGGTTTTCTTAACTGAGGAGCTTTCATGAATTTGATATTTTGACATTTACTCAAGAAGCCAAGGGTGAGTCAAAAGAATGGTCATAATTGATAGGTAGTTCATGGTGAAAATATTGAGTAGTTGATGAGAAGAATTTGGGAGCAAGAGATGGAATCTGGGAGTATTTTGTGATAGATTTCTCTCCCCCCCCCCTTTCCCCCCATTGTTGTAAAAGGTCATAACAATTTTTCAAGACCTTACTTGGTTTCCTGTTAAGGTGTCAAGCCTCTGCAGACTATGGATTAAGAACCTGTTACAGATAATACGATTGCTATATTACTATTCTCATAAATTGTTATTTCTTTGAGATAGATTGATGAAACACATTCATACAGAGTAGGAAGAGACTGCAAAAGCCATCCAGTCCAAATACCTGCCATGAAAAAAGTGGAGGCTGGGTGAAAGAAAAAGCACATATTCCTGAATGTATTTTGTAAGAAGTATTTTGTAAGAACCACAATGATGCTTGGTATCCATTGTGGTTTTGTTCCAATGCACCCCACTCGATACAAAAATTTGTGGATGCTCAAGTTCCATTATATATAATGGCATAGTAAAACAGTGTTCCTTAGGTAAAATGGCAAAATAAATGTTTGCTTTTTGGATTAAAAGTATTTCCATGAATACAGAATCTATGGATACAGAGATTTGAGTGTAAATATTATATTACTGTATTTAAACAGAAGAAGTATACATTTAAACAGAAGAAGTATACATTTCTCTCACTATAGTTGTAAATCTCCATTCTCCCCTCTCCCTCCCCTTGGAAGAAATAAAAGTATTTTGGGCATATGTTTTTTTCCTAATCCCCTCTTCTTCACATTGGCCTTGGCTAATATTCCATATTCTAGCTCAGTCACTAACATTTTTCATGGCCTTGGATATCTGGACATCTATCTGAGATATTTTTCCAGACTTACTAAATTTAGGTGCAAGTCCATTTACTTGGAGTTCAGGTGCTTCCATATTCCCTAAGAAACTTCTCTTCTGCCAGTTGCTATGATTGGGATGGCCCTGATTCCCACTGGAGAGGAAAAATTACAGAGGTAGAACACCTTACCTCCTACTCTGGGAGCTGTTGGTTGACAGGTTTTTGGAGATACACTTTCAAAATATCTATAGGATATTTCCAGTTTGCTTTGTCAGTTTTATCTGTTTTAATTTACTATTTGTCCAGAGAGTGGAAGATCAAATTTATGAATATGGGTGGAGGGACAGGTAAATATAACTAGGAAACTCTATTGTATTAGGTAGGTAATAATATTTTGTGATATTGTTTTACATATGCAATAGGCTCATATGTGTTTAATGTTGAGTATGAGATATATTCATTTTAATTACGTTGTGATATACAGTACAGTTTGAATATAAGGAACCTAAGAATGATAAAATGAATGTGGAAAAAGAAAGGGAAAAGAAAAAAATATCAACTGAGGCCAGTTTTTGCCATCTGCAGTGACAGAGTTCCTTTGTGACAAACCAGAAAAGGAAATAGCAGTTATTCTTTTTTCACCTAACCATTCACATACACATATCCATACACACATATACCATCCATACACACAGACTGTTTTGAATTGCTGTAATTCTACATGTATAATTCTTTGATATGAAGCATATATGTGTATGCAATGTGTGTATGTATGCGTGTAATGTGTGTAATTCTTTAATGTGTATCATCCTATAATTGTTGTTGCATATGTAATGTCTCCTATTCTATTCTTTTTACGAATCCTAGCCCCATAAGACAGCCAGATCACCAGTATTTATTGGTTGAAAGATATTGGGCTAATTTGAGGCATACAATCATTTATTCATGTGGAGACTTGCTCTCTTACTTTGGATTAGTTGGCTGTGTCCCGTTCTTTCTGCTTATTTCTTTTATCCCTGTTATCTTTCAATATGCTTGCTTAGGTTGATTTGGATATCATGATTTTATTGATTGACTACAGAACATGAACCTTATTTATTTATTTATTTATTTATTTATTTATTTATAGCTTGCTTTTCTTCCTAAACGGGACCCAAAGCAGCTTAAAACATGCAAAACAATATGCATATTAATCAAAGTATTATATTACCTTACTACAGAAATTAAACATGCTATTGCCTTGGTGAAACATGGGGCATACTGTGTTTTTAGTGGATGGTTTATCATTCATTAAATTGGAATCATTCCATATACTAGGAACTACATGCCCCAGTGGTAGCTGAGATGGGAGTGGGAGCGTTCTGGGATTTATGATCCAAAAATTAACTTACCAAAACTCTGATTACTAATTATTTCCAATCTGTTTGTGCCAACTAGCTACCAAGTGTGCTTTATCTGTTTACTGGTTCAGCTGTAAGCATGTATAAAATCTGCTAGATTAAACAAGTGACACCTCAGAAAATCAGCTATGGTGTTTTGAAAATGTGTTGATGCTTGCCGACTGAGTTACTGGAGATATTGTTCCATGTTGCTCAAGAGCACTTGACGGTTAACATACTTAGAGTAACACTGATTAAATTTCCTCTTTTTTCTAGTTTCAAGGAACCTCCTGTCCTCACTGGCCCACTAGAACCAAACTTTAAACTTCGACAAGCAGAAAGACTATTTGAAAATCAGCTTGTTGGACCAGAATCCATTGCCAATATTGGTGGTAAGCACATAACCAATGGCGATCTAAGGTGCCTTTTTAATCGTTGCTTCATAGTTAATTTTTTCCCAGAAACAATTTCTGTATGCTGAATGTAAAGGATTCTGCATTATCCTCTTAATGTTTGAATTCTGAGTGAAATGAAAGTTCTTAAAGGTTGCTTCCCCAACCTAGTGTGCTCCAGATTCCTTGGACTATAATTTCCATCATTACTGTAGACTGGAACTGATGAGAGTCCTAAATATTTGGAGAGCAGCCGGTTGTGAAGACCTGTTCCAGATCTTGCTTTCTCCCCAATGAGTTAGTGTTACAATAACCATAACTCCTCTTAGTTAGCATAACTAAGCATATCTTCATCCAAATCATAATGCAATGGGTTTCTCAAAAAACTCCAGCAGTGCAGCGACAGAGTAAAATATTTAGTTCAAGAAAAACTTACACTGAAACTGGTGCTTTACATGTGGAAAACATGTATTCTGAAGTATCCTATGTTTATAGGTGATCACTTGTGGCTGAGTATGATTGGCTTCCAAGGATAGAGTTATGGTAGTGGATCCGTAAGTGACTCTGGAGATCTATTCTGGATCCATTTGGTATTTCACAATGAGGACATTGATTTCATAGAATCATAGAGTTGGAAGAGACCTCATAGGCCATCCAGTCCAACCCCCTGCCAAGAAGCAGGAAAATCAAATTAGAAGCACCCCTGACAGATGGTCATCCAGCCTCTGCTTAAAAGCCTCCAAAGAAGGAACCTCTACCACACTCCGGGGCGGAGAGCTCCACCCCTGAACAGCTCTCACAGTTATGAAGTTCTTTCTAATGTTCCTATTTTCCAGATGGTAGGCGGTCATACATTAAGTTATGATTCATCCCAAGTGGATCAACGTTGATATTCTCAGAATGAAAGCATCCCAATTGAGTATTCTGGACTAGTGTTAGATAGTATTTTTAACATGGCTTCAGAATACACTTGTTGTGTCCCTCACAATATAGTTGATTACTGGGACAACAATTTTATCAGTGGAACCAAATGTAACCAGTCCCCTTCCCATGTTTTGACAAGATTTTATAGCTCTCTGTAGAAACATACATTTGATAGTTTAGTTGTGGTTCTTTCTCACAACGTCCATGAATGAATTGATTTGTTTTTGATACTTACCAAACCCCTAATCTTCCTTCAATAAGTTATCTAGTTAGCCCCTTAATGTGAATCACAGTGTGAATCACAGTTATCATAAAATATAGACTTATCTGTAGTTATAAGTCCTTGAGTGGTCATCTTGAGGCTCCATATAGATTTGGCCAGTGGATACATGCTAGTCCTCTTTTTTGAGGAATGTTTGTTTTGGCATAATATTTATGCTTCAGGTGCTCTTCCAAATGAGTGTTCTCAACATCCTGAATTGCTCTCACCTTGTTGCTTGTCTTTTGTAGATGTGCTGTTTACTGGTACTGCTGATGGAAAAATTTTGAAGATAGAAAATGGGGAAATACACACATTAGCCCGACTTGGCCATGGTCCATGTAGTAAGTCAACACTGCTTATTCACTGTTTTTACATTGTGACCTGAAGTGTCTGTCTCTCTCCACATGTCTAGCCTTATAGGATGGATACATAGGTGTACTGTAAGTGTACTAATGACATTTTTCTATAAGGAAACAATATGGATAGTATTCTTTTGTACAAGTTGAAATCCACTTTTGACATGTAAGTTTAGAGCAGAGCTTTCCAAACATTTAATATTGGTGACACACTTTTTGAATTTGCATCATTTTGCCTCATAGTAATTCAGTTTTGCCAGCAAACCAAAACCAATCCCTTATAAGAGGTATAGAAACATATATCAATTGTAGCAATGAAATGTATGGAGACACAACATATCTCATGAAAACCTTTCATTTATATTTTTAAATATATGATTTATTGCTTATTTCACATATACTCAGGTTTCTTGTTATGTTTGGGCAACACACTGCAGCTGACACTAATGTGTTGCAACACACTATTTGAAAAGCTCTGGTTTAGAGGTTTAGTGTGCAAATTCTGCCATCTATTGAATAGAAATACCTGTATATACTCAAATATAAGCCGACCCGAATATAAGCCAAGGTACCTAATTTTGCCACAAAAAACTGAGAAAACTTATTGACTCAAGTATAAGCTGAGGGTGGGAAATGCAGCAGCTACTGGTAAATTTCAAAATAAAAATACATACCAATAAAATTGAGGTATCGGTAGGTTAAATGACAGTTGCATCTGTCAAGTAGGAAAATTAGGTACCACCATAAAGTGTGGGGAGGCTAAAATAACTAATTTATGAGGCCATAAAAAAGGCTCCAGCAAAGCACTCCAGCAAAAAAGCATGTGGGGAATGCAGAAGTACTTCATCAGTGTCGCAGATGGACGATGAAAGCGACAGCTCCCCTGGTGGCCAGAAAAGTTAAATATCCTCTGTGTATGTCTGTATATGTTGTATGTCAAAATTGGCATTGAATGTTTGCCATATATGTGTACACTGTAATCCGCCCTGAGTCCCCTGTGGGGTGAGAAGGGCGGAATATAAATGCTGCAAATAAATAAAATAAATAAATAAAACTGTAATTTAAGATAAGACTGCCCAACTCTAATTAAATCATTATTCTAACCCCTTTTTGATGTAAAGGCGTTTATGTATCCTTCCAATAATCACAATGGTGTTTTTCAACTATAGATTTTGGGGAAAATGCTGTATGTATATGAATAAAGAAAAGTGGAAAAGACTGGTGTGGGAAAGGGGGACTAGAAATGTGAAAAGGTTGGAATGGGAAGGGGTGGTTGAAAAAGTGGAAAAATGAGTTAGAAAAGGGGTAGCTGGATAAGTAAGTCCAGGCAGTGTACCACTCAGCTGCTGGTGGTGGAAGCAAGAAGTGCACCATGTCCTCAGGAAAGAGAGAAAACTGCTGGGAGGTGTGTTTCATGTGCTGTGCACCGTGAATTCAGTAAACATCAGTTAAATGTGAGGAGCCCCCAGTGGTGCAGTGGGTTAAAGCACTGAGCTGCTGAGCTTGTTGATCGAAAGGTCGCAGGTTTGATTCCGGGGAGCGGCGTGAGCTTCCTCTGTCAGCCCTAGCTTCTGCCAACCTAGCAGTTCGAAAACATGCAAATGTGAGTAGATCAATAGGTACCGCTCCGGCGGGAAGGTAACGGCGCTCCATGCAGTCATGCCGGCCACATGACCTTGGAGGTGTCTACGGACAACGCTGGCTCTTCGGCTTAGAAATGGAGATGAGCACCACACCCCAGAGTCAGACATGACTAGACTTAATGTCAGGGGACTACCTTTACCTTTACCTTTACAGTTAAATGTGACTGACTGTGAGGGTATTTGATGTAATATTAAAATAACCAAGTACTTGAGTGGAGGAAAGTGTGCTGGCATCAATGCATAACTTGGGTATAGACAGTGTCATTTGCGTCCTTTAGATTTTGTTCTGCTACTGGCAGTTAATGATTTCTTAACAGTTTGGAACCTCCAGTAGAGGGCACTACATATTTCTGAGTTCAAAACATTTACTATTTCTGTGGCTTTATATTAATTTTGCCTCTGGGGAGAAAATCTATTTTGAAAACAGTCCAAAAAAAGAATGAAAGTCAGAATTCAGCGCTAACGGAAAATAAGTAGAAGTCAGCTAGAAGAGAATAACTCGACATTATTATGTGTAAAACAAGTAGTGTTTAGTAACAAACTTATGTGTAAAACAAGCAGTGTTTAACAAGAAAAGCTTATCTTTAAAATATCACAAAATGATTTGGTTTTGCTGCAGTAAATTTATATATTTGCCTTAATTTGGAGCGTAGTGATTCCATTTACTAACAGTGTTGTTGTTAGACGGAATGTTCTTCAAAATTTGTCTTCAATTGTCTTTCTATGAATTTAATTCTAGACGGATGTCTCATTGATGACTGTGCTTTTAAATTGTATTTTTTATTGATTGGCTGTTCGATGTCTTTATTTTGATATTTCATTTGATTTCATTAGTATAATGCTGTTATTATTTTGTATTATGTTCTATTGCTATAATGTTTTGCTATATGTCGAGCATTGAATGTTTGCCTCTGTTTGTGTAAACAGCCCTGAGTCCCCCTGGGGAGATAGAGCAGTCTAAAAGTAAAGTTTATTATTAAAGTTTATTATTGTTGTTTGGAAGTGAATAGAATTTTTATGTACATATTGTTTTTTATGAACCGTCAGTATATGTATTTTGAAAGGTGGCAGAGAAGACGAACCAACATGTGGGAGACCTCTTGGTATCCGTGTTGGCCCAAAGAACACACTATTTGTGGCTGATGCTTACTATGGAATCTTTGAAATTAATCCTGTGTCAGGTATGACTTTCTTCTTCTTTTTCTCTACCCAGTTAGTTGTTAAGGATTCTGGTAGCATCTTTCACCTGAATCTTATTTCAATTTTTGTTCATTTCACATTGTTTAAGTCCAGAAACAATGATTTTTTTTTTTTTAAAAAAAGATCACTTCATTAATTCAGCAGACCTGAACAGCTCACCCTTTACAACCTACCTTTTATAGTTTATATGAATGAAGCCTTGGATGATGGTGTCGATTTTTTGTAGCATAGCCTCACAACATAAAGACCAACTCCTATAAAGGTTGTCTTTATGGTGAAGCCTTGCTGTAGTGCCTTGCAAAAGTACTTAACCAATTTTAAAATCTCCACATTTGTTGTGTTACAGCCTGGAAGTGAAATTAACTAAGATTTATCACTTAGCTTGGCTGCTTCCTCCCTGGGAGTATCCATTGTTGGGAGGTGATTAGCTGGCCCTGATTGTCTTTATTTACTGTCCTGATTTTAGAGGGTTTTTTAAATACTGGTAGCCAGTTTTTTTAATATTGGTAGCCAAGCCCCACATGCCTAGTTTCCAACAAACCTCACAACCTCTGAGGATGCCTGCCATAGATATGGGTCAAACGTCAGGAGAGAATGCTTCTAGAACATGGCCATACAGCCCAGAAAACTCACAGCAACCCAGTAATTCCGGCCATGAAAGCCTTCGAAAGTACTTGCACATGTCCACAGATGTAGTGTTGGAGTGTAATCTACTTTAGTAACCTACGTGAATAAACTGACGTAAGATCACATTGCTCTTAAGGAAGCATCAGCAACCTGCATTGAGATGAAGAAGCATGATTTTGAGGCCTTACTCCTGCTTCTCCTTTTGCACTGCTTCTTTTTATTTTTCCCCCTGCTCTGCCATTTTTTTTCCTTGTGGCCATGTCCCAGACCCAGAATAAGCACAGACAAAACACACCTTTTGTCTAAAAGTAGTGTTGTGTGCTGTTTCTCACATTTCATTTTCTATTTTTTAATAGAGACGAGTAATTTTAATTTCCATCTCGGAAATAGTGTAAATACTTTGGGTTTCCTGGGGAAATGGCAGCCTTTTAGTTTTCAGAGCCCATGCTGTCAAGAGTTCAGAGAACATTGCATCTGATTTGGGAAGCTAGGAAGTTTAATGGATCAGTATACTTTAAGAACTTTAAGAGATAATGTGAACTTGTATTCCTTCAAGTCACTTCTGACGTATGGTGACCCTAATATGAATCTACCACAGAATTTTCTTGGCAAGCTTTATTCAGAGGGAGTTTGCCCTTGCCTTCCTGAGGCTGAGGGAGTGTAACTGACTCAAGGTCATTCAGTTGATTTTCAGTAGCTGTACGGGGATTTGAATCCTGTCTCCCAGTGTCCCAAGTCCAACTTTCAAACCCCTGTAGTTCCCTCAGTTTTAGTTGCAGGAGTTAAAAACTTCTCTCTCTGTGATCAGGTGAAGTGATACCGCTTGTGTCTTCAAAGACTCCAATTGAGGGGAAGAACCTGTCCTTCATTAATGACCTTACATTGACTCGAGATGGAAGGAAAATCTATTTTACTGACTCTAGCAGTAAATGGCACAGAAAAGACTACTCCTTATTAATTATGGAGGCATCAGATGATGGACGGTAAGTGAAGTCGTCCTTAGGCTGTGAGCAGTGTTAAAGACTACTGGCAAAAATAGTCAGGGACACAGATGTATAACTGTGTCAGTCCTTATATTAACAAACCTTAAATGCAAGTGGGCTGTGGCCTGGCATTGACAATGTAAGCCTGAAGATGAAAATCACCATTTGCTCCTGGCAGAAGAGGATTCCCAGAGGCTTGTGGTGGGAGGACTGTATTATTCCCTTAGCAGAGAAAGCAACAAAAAGTCTTGTGGCATCATGTGTTTTATTTGGCTTCGGGTCCACAGATGCTTGTGCCAAAAAGAGGTTGTTTTCCATGATACTCTGAGTGTATTCAACAAATGAGTGTATTCAACAAATGTATCTGCCTTCATCAATAGGAGCATAGTGTCTAGATCTAAGGAAGTAATGCTACCTCTCTATTCGCTTTGGTTAGACCACATCTGGAATATTGTGTCCAATTCTGGGCACCACAATTCAAGAGAGATATTGACAAGCTGGAATGTGTCCAGAGGAGGGCGACTAAAATGATCAAGGGTCTGGAGAACAAGCCCTATGAGGAGCGGCTTAGGGAACTGGGCATGTTTATCCTGAAGAAGAGAAGGCTGAGAGGAGATATGATAGCCATGTATAAATATGTGAGAGGAAGCCACAGGGAGGAGGGAGCAAGCTTGTTTTCTGCTTCCTTGGAGACTAGGACGCGGAACAATGGCTTCAAACTACAAGAGAGGAGATTCCATCTGAACATTAGGAAGAACTTCCTGACTGTGAGAGCCGTTCAGCAGTGGAACTCTCTACCCCGGAGTGTGGTGGAGGCTCCTTCTTTGGAAGCTTTTAAGCAGAGGCTGGATGGCCATTTGTCAGGGGTGATTTGAATGCAATATTCCTGCTTCTTGGCAGGGGGTTGGACTGGATGGCCCATGAGGTCTCTTCCAACTCTTTGATTCTATGATTCTATGATTCTATCTGTGTTATTTATTGAGTTATTACTACATCTTTCTCTCTGTGAGTCCCCTTATGGGGAGAAGGGCGAGGTAGAAATGTACGAAATAAATAAATCAGTGGGGGGTGGGATGGCAAGGTGGGTTAAATTGCTGACCGAAAGGTTGGCAGTTCAAATCTGGGGAGCGGGGTGAGCTCCCACTGTTAGCCCCAGCTTCTGCCAACCTAGCAGTTCAAAAACATGCAAATATGAGTAGATCAATAGGTACAGCTTTGGCAGGAAGTTAATGGCACTCCATGCACTCATTCTAACCACATGACCTTGAAGGCGTCTATGGACAACACCAGCTCTTCGGCTTAGAAATGGAGATGAGTACCCTCCCCCAGAATCGGACACAACTAGACTTAATGTCAGGGGAAACCTTTACCTTTATCACTACGTCTAAACATCTAGGCTGCTGTAGGAAGTCTTAGTGTTATGTCTGGATATGAAATTATGTATAGAAAGTAATGCCCAGTAGTTACTGCTGTCTCTCTCTGAATCTTTTATGATTAGGGAAGGTAGACAGTGGAAAATGTCATCATAATACTGTGGCCTTCATCATTAATGCTGGTGTAATGATTATACCTTTAGATTGCTTGAATATGACACGGTGACAAAGGAAGTGAAGGTCTTAATGGGAGGACTCAGATTTGCAAATGGAGTGCAGCTTTCACCTTCTGAAGATTTTGTGCTGGTGGCTGAAACAACCATGGCAAGGATACGAAGGTAAATGAAATGCTTGCCTGGATTACTGCATACTAAATGGATGTGTGTGTGTTTGTCATTAACCACACGCTCTGAGTTCAACTATTTTTTAAAGGTTGGTGCAAGATTTTCTGATCTTTGTGTGGATTCACTATCATCCCTAACATGTATAAGTTTAACTAGCTTGACTTCTTTGTCCCACTCCTGCTGCCCCTCTACCAGCCTTTCTATGTCAAAAGCACTAGTCCTTTAATCCATTTATCACCTTCATATCAGGAACACTCAGTAGTAGATTTTATTTCTACAGGTCCTTTATTTTGTTGTGATGTAAAAGATATTATGTGTTTTAATTTTTAGATATTATGTGTCTGGCCTCATGAAAGGTGGAGAAGACATGTTTGTAGAAAATATGCCTGGCTTTCCTGACAACATTCGTTTAAGCAGCTCTGGGGGTTATTGGGTGGCTATGTCAGCTATTCGAGCCAACCCTGGATTTTCTATGATGGATTTCTTATCTGAAAAACCATGGATTAAAAGAATTATATTTAAGGTAAAAAACTAATCAACTTAACAATTAAGTCTACTTTCATTCTTTATGGTGTTTATGTTAGAATGACCTCAGTGTCTGAACTAAGGAGATTCTGAACTAAGGAGTTGTATATCTCCATTGCACCTAGCTCACCCAACTCATAACATAGAAAGAATGACTGTAATCTTGAGCTTACAGCTTATATTATTTTTAATATATATATATTTATATTTTATACTCCTCTATTCCTCAACCATGATCATTCTCCTGCCTTTACAATGACAGAAGCAGAATATTAGTTACTATCACCAATATCAGATGGTAGAACTATGTTTTCCTTGCTTTTTCTCCCAAGCATGGGGATAATAAAAGGAAATCTTGGGGAGCAGATTGACTATAGTTTTCTACACAGTCCAGCAGATACTTCTGATTTGCTTTGGGATATGATATCAACTGATCTTAGCCCTTGGAACTGTCAAAGGCAACTAACGTTGAAGACTCTGAGGGAGCAGGATGGTGATACATGAAGGCCTCCCTTTAGCCCTTTTGTTCATTGTGACTGGTAAAGAAGTGTATTTGGGGTAGACATGTTCCCTTTTTTCCCCCCAATCTAACAGATATTCCTGCTGCCATCCCTGTTGCTGTTGTTTCTGACAACCAGTTAATAGATTATATAGATATCTGTAACATACCTGTTGAAATGGTGTGAAGGCTTTTGGAAACATTACTATATCCTGGATATGGGCATCACTTTTTGGTAGATTTGTCATAGATGCTGCGAATGTAGAACACATTTTGGTAATGTAAGCCGCTTTGAGGAGCCCTGGGTGGTGCAATGGGTTAAACCGCTGAGCTGAACTTGCTGACACAAAGGTTGGTGTTTTAAATCTGGGGAGCAGGGTGAGCTCCTGCTGTTAGCTCCAGTTTTGGCCAACTTTGCAGTTTGAAAACATGCAAATGTAAGTAGATCAATATGTACCGTAATAGCGCTCCATGCAGTCATGCTGGCTGCATGACCTTGGAGACCTCTACAGACAACGCCAGCCCATTAGCTTAGCAATGGAGATGAGCACCATCCCCAGAGTTGGACACAAGTAGACTTCATGTGGAGGGGAAACCTTTATCTTTACTTAAGCCACTTTGAGTCTCCTTGTTTGAGAAAAAAGTGGGATCTAATCAGAATAACAACAATCACAACCGCAGTCACCCTCCACATTACAGTTTTGACTGATTATTTCTAGACTTGATTTAAAATGCTTTCTCTAGGAATCTCTATGTCTTTCAGTATTACTTCATGGTCAGCTTCCTCCAGTCATGGTGTAGGACCCGGATTACAAAAGAACAGTTCTCTGGGAATCTCTAGCTCCTCCAATGTGATTCTGTGTTTATCTTTCAGTGAAAGTTGACCATAGAGCTCTGCAAATGACCTAAAATTACTAGAAGTATTCTCTCAGATAAAAAAAAAAATAACACTCACATTCACAAGGATCATGTACCCCTAACCCAGTGATTCCCAACCTTTTTTTTTTTACCAGAGCCCACTTGACCAGGGCTCACTTGAACCAGGACTCACTTTGAACATGACCACTTGATCAGGGACCACTCTCCAAAAGGGACGGGCTGGTCAGCTCTGCGGAAAGGAGCAGAAATAAATAAAATAAACAAATAAAGAGGAAGGAGGTTCGTGGACCGGATTTTCGTTCTCGCGGCCTATTGCAGGGACACGGCCCTCAGGTTGAGAACCACTGACCTAACCCCATTAAATGTGGAAGGCTGGCAGTATTTCATTAAGTCAGACCTGGGCCAGAAAACTGCTAAGGATTTCTTGTGACAGCCGCTCTGTGCTTTCACTCATTTGTTGCATCTCCAGTACATACAGTCCAATCTGACAAATTCCAGTGTAATAATCATGATAGTTGCTCTGATTGTACCTCGCACATATTGCTCCCTGGATATTCAGTGAGCTAAGTGGCATGTGACCTTTGAAAGCCATGTTCTTCATTTAATGATGGAATGTAGACACACTGCAACTAGTCTCAGTTTATCTACATCTGAAGAGAGGATTCCTACATCACTGTTTATAAATTATCAGCTCAATAAAGGTGTTTGTAATACTTATGGCTAAAAGGCAATTCTCCATATAATGATTTTGTTTGTATTTCAGCTGCTTAGTCAAGAAACTGTGATCAAATTTGTGCCAAAGTACAGCCTTCTGGTAGAACTAAGTGATACTGGGTCCTACCGAAGAAGCTTCCACGATCCAAATGGAATGGTGACATCGTACATCAGCGAAGCACATGAGCATAATGGACATCTCTATTTGGGCTCTTTCCGGTCTCCTTTTATTTGTAGACTGAATCTGGAGGATGTTTAAATCTCTGAGCCAAAAGCAACACCGGTGTTGTCTTGCATTACTCTGGGGGGCAAAAGAGGATGGATGACAAATTTGAGCCAAGGAAGAAGAATGAAAGCACAGTCAGTCACAAGCACTGTAGCACTATTACCTAGACAGATCCAGAGGTTGAACGCTTAATTTAAAAGCATGCTATACCTTAAAACCTGTGGACACAATCCATTATTTTTGTGCAATTAGCATTTGAATTGGCAGACCTTCTCTGGCCTTTTTACATCTCTTCAAGGCAAACAAAAATTGCTTCATGAAACAGAATTTTTATGTTTACTAACATGATTTAGACGCTGCTTCCACTATGGAAGGATATTGTACATACATATACTTGATTTGCTTTCAGGACATCAAACTATTACACTGGAAATTGGTGAAATCAAGTTGTTAATCTTAGGTATGTTGCATGCATTCATTTCCAACTTGGGTCTTCCTAGGCATGTTTTAAAAGCATGCATACTGGAACATCTATGTACTTATAGATGTATTAATAAACTGGATTATATTACAATTCCATTTACTGTCAATGCTGCTTTTTTGTTTTTAATTTGGCATAGATATGTTTTATGGCATGAAAATCGGGGGTGGTTTGAATGGGATTTCCCTGCTTCGTGGCAGGGGATTGGACCGGATGGCCCACGAGGTCTCTTCCATCTCTATGATTCTATGATTCTAAATCACTTCACTGCATAATTTCTTATACAAAATCTGAAAATGTCCTTCAGAATAATGCAGCTCTTTTGAAGATTAAATGTGTTGTCGAAGGTTTTCATGGTCAGAATCACAGGGTTACTGTGAGTTTTCCGGGCTGTATGGCCGTGCTCCAGAAGCATTCTCTGCTGACGTTTTGCCCACACCTATGGCAGGAATCCTCACAGGTTGTGAGGTTTGTTGGAAACTAGGCAGGTGGGGTTTATATATATGTGGAATGTCCAGGGTGGGAGAAATAGCTCTTGTCTGCTTGAGGCAAGTTTGAATGTTGCAATTGGTCACCTTGATTAAATGTTAATGGCCTTGTAGCTTCAAAGCCTGGCTGATTGCTGCCCCAACAAAGAATCTCCCCAGGCAAGAAGCAGCCAGGCTTCGAAGCTATGAGGCCATTCAATGCTAATCATGGTGGTCAATTGCAACGCTCACAGTTGCCTCAAGCAGACAAGAATTCTTTCTCCCACCCTGGACATTCCACAGATATATAACCCTCACTTGCCTAGTTTCGAACACGCCTCACAACCTATGGGGATGCTTGCCATAGATATGGGCGAAACCTCAGGAGAGAATGCTTCTGGAACATGGCCATACAGCCCAAAAAACTCACATCGACCCAAAACATTAAATGATTATATTATTCAAAAACAATTTCTCAACAATGGTGGCAGTTCACAAAGTATCTATAAACTGTTTCAAATCCAGGACAAAAAAAGATCAAAAACACAAAGCTGCAATAATAGGTTAAACAATCTGACTAACATGCACGGTGAAAGCACAACATGTATGTGAGTAGTTCCTTAGTGAACAAAATCATCTTTAACCCATGCATAAATATGAATGATACAGAGATCCAGGGAGGGATTTCCACGCATGTTATTTGCAGAAAAGCCTTGTTCCCTGGTTATAGCCCTTGCCTCATTTCACTGGAACTCAAAGCGGTTCTCACCAGATTATTTCAAGGCGCATGTAGGTTAGCTCAGTTGCTCAAATACACTGTTTTTGAGAACAAGGCATAAGAGGAAGGGAAAAGAGGCATATAGTGCTGTATCTACACAACTCCTTTAGCAAGAGTCCGGTAGAGCACGCACACAGCACTTCACAGGATTCAAAACCCTCCATGAGGGAATAAGAGACATCTTGTCAGTCAGCTGAAGGGAAAGGCTGTTATACATCAGGCCAGTCATGTTGAGCGGCTCAGCAAACATGGGATGGGAAGAGGGAAACCTCTAATATGATATGTATGCATAGAAAATAGAAGGAAACACTTGCTCCTCTGCAATTGGCATTCACTGTGACCTTATCTCTGGGCTAATTTGGAGACCCTCGCTTGTCTTTAGCCTTTCTAGCAAGAAAGCGAATTCCACAGGTTGCATTCAACGGCCTCTTTGTGATTCATCCTCTGTTGGGATTAATTATTGACGACGCAGGTGCAATGAGAGTTTCTAAGGCGAGGAGAAAGGCTCACTTGGCAGCAAACAACACACTGGCTCATTTTTTTTGTTGTTGCAGTGAAGAAGTGTGTGGGAAGGACTGCCTTTGAAATGCTCAGGGCCGTCTCTCATTCAGTCTGCAATGAACCAAGTTAAAACTGGATTTGGAAGCTGGAGTGCTGCTTGCTTATCTCATCATTTTGTCAGTTATCCAGTGCAGTAAAGTCAACAGTATCCTGTCTTGGGTAGTCCGTTGTGGTGCAGCAGGTTAAACCACTGAGCTGCTGAACATGCTGAACATGGTCAGTGGTTCAAATCCGGGGAGGGGGGTGAGCTCCCGTCATTAGCCCCAGCTCCTGCCAACCTAGCAGTTCAAAAACATGCAAATGTGAGTAAATGTTGTATCTCAGGCTAAGATTCACCTTGCTCTCTCTGACAAATCAGCCAAACTTGTGAGATATGAAGTTTATTGAGGATTTTCAAACAAATCAGAATATAAGCAGTAAAAAGATCAGTAGTACAAGGTAAAAGTCCAATATAATCCCTTTGAGTCAAAGCAGGAGACTTGAAGCAAAGAAGCAGAGTAAAGTCCAGGAAATAGCATGAGGTTACATGAAGCAGGCTTTTCCCAAGCCCCAGGCCCCAGAGCCGGAGCCAAAGCGAGCCATTTTTGCAACGTTGGAACTGACACCGATTCAGCTCCCAGGCAGTTTACTTATAGGTAAAACATCAAAACATTGAACATCAAACAGGCAGCTAACAAGCAGTTTTCCCACCAATAGATGAGCTCAAGACTTGGCCGCAATTCGTAAACTCCTTCTTAACACCTGTGGGACAGCCTGACCTTCACCAGCTGTCTTATCAGCCGCATTCCGTTCCTGTGGGAAAAATGGTTTGTCTCTAGCTACAGATTGTGACTGAGAAAACTGAGAAAACTGAAAGCCCACACCTGCATCTGTATTCCCATTCCCATCATGCTCATCTGCACTCTCTGCACTCTCAGTCCCATCATGCTGTTGCTGTTGAACCACAACAGTAAATCAATAGGAAGGTAATGGCGTTCCATGCAGTCATACTGGTCACATGACCTTGGAGGTGTCTAGGGACAATGCTGGCTCTTTGGCTTAAAAATGGAGATGAGCACCACTTCCCAGAGTCGGACACGACTAGACTTAATGTCAGGGCAAACTTTTACCTTTACCCCTTGCAAAATTTCTGAACACACTGCTATGCATTTTGTAAAATAATATTTTTTATATAGCCAAACATGCGTACAGGCTTCAACTGGAAACCTTTATACAATATTGTAAATTGTAAACCCTTCATGGAAAGTGGGACTTTGGGCAGTGTTTGAGTTTGACAAGAGAAGCCCTGGAATCATATCACGTGGCTCACTAGACTGACACACAACAGTACCACTTTCAACCAATTGTACTTGATATGTCTTAAATGAGAATATAATAGGATAAATATATTTAATAGGATAAATATATAAGTAACGGCCTAGGTTTCTAGGGGAAAGAAAAATCAGCAAATGTATCCATTTATTGCTATGAGACGAATCTACTGATTTTCTGCCAAAGCTTTAGTTTGAAATTATACCTTACGTTCGGAGAGTCAAATTGCATGCGAGCATACTTTATGCTGCTATGTCCAATGCTGGAAGGAAGCCATCTGGGAGAAAACAGCTCTTTAAATAACAGCTATTTAATACCAGCTCTATTTAACATCAAAGTATGATGGCAATCAATAAAGATTAACTCCAGTTCATAGCAAAAGAGAACGGCCTAAATTTAATACATCTGCTCTGGAAAGACACAGAAAAACACATAAGCAACCAAGAACAAATTCAGTTATTCATTCTTTCATACAACAGGCAGCCACTGAGTTATGAAGAAGATTAGTTCTACCGGTTTGTTTTTAAGTTGAATTTGTAGGTCGGAACAGGTGCATTTTTAAGTGTAACTCCAGCCAAAAATATCTTTTTTAGCTTTGGATAGGAGTCCCCTTTGGTGCAGTGGGTTAAACCGCTGGGCTGCTGAACTTGTTGACCGAAAGGTCGCAGGTTCAAATCCGGGGAGTAGCGTGAGCTCCTGCTGTTAGTCCCAGCTTCTGCCAACCTAGCAGTTCGAAAACATGCAAATGTGAGTAGATGTATAGGTACCACTCCGGTGGGAAGGTAATGGTGCTCCATGCAGTCATGCTGGCCACATGACCTTGGAGGTGTTCGGCTTAGATGAGCACCACCCCCCAGAGTCGGACATGAGTGGACTTAATGTCAGAGGAAAACCTTTACCTTTACATAGCTTTGGATAACATAGGGAAGGATTAACATAGGGAAGGATTTGTTTTGCCCCTGTTTAGAAGATTTCGCCTCACTTTCTGTCCCTGTGATAATTGGATTTAGAAAAAAAATAGCTTGCTGTGGAAACAAGGATTGGTGAGAAAGCTTCAGTGGAGACCCCTTTTCCCCATGATAACTCTTCCAGGAGTAAATTTCCCTTCCCCTCACTTCTTGTTGCCTCACCTCCGTTCTTAACTATGAGTCATTTGTAAGTCAGATGTCTGTAACTCAGAGACTGCATGTATTGCATGTTGACAAAAATTATTACTCTCCAATAGCGAGACTAAAATGAATTAATTGTTCTCTTCCACAAATCCCTGGAGCTGGGAGGCCACCACATGCTTCAGATCCTGCCCCAAAATGGGATGTTAGGAATAAAGTCTCTAAATCAAACAGGGAATGACCTTCTCACCCTCTTCATTGTTAAGGCTTTGTTTTGTAGAATATGTGGAACACTACTGGTTTTGGAAGCAAGGAGGCAGAGACAGCCAAAGAAACGGGAAGTTCAGATTAGCCAAGGGTACAAGATTCTGAGCAAAATTTAAATGCTTACTCTGAGATCTGTTCAATGTTATGCGACGGGAGCTGGGTTATTTATTTATTGTGTCAGAAGCAAATTGAGAGTACAGTTATAATGTAGTTAAAAACACAAAGTTAAAAACTTGACATCATGAAAAATGTCCTTTGACCAGAAGCTGGCCACTTGGAGTGCCTCTGCTGTCGCTGTGAGAAGGTCCTCCACTGTGCACATGGCAGGGCCCAGGCTGCATTGTAGTCAGTGGTCTCTGGTTTGCTCTTCTACATACCCGCAAGGAGCTGGGTATTTTTAGAGAACAGACAGTTAATGCGTGACATGATAAATAAATGGACCCAATATTTGAAAGGATGTCACGTTGAAGATGGAGCAAGCTTATTTTCCATGCTCTACAGACCAGTACACAGAGCTATAGAGTCATACTACAGGAAATGATATTCCATTTGAAAATAGAAAAAACTTCGTTATGGAAAGAGGTGTTCAGTAGTGGAATATGCTG